AAAGGCCGCCAACGCAAAAAGGAGTTCTGCGCAAAAAAAACCTTGATACACCCCGGTGTTGGACCGACCAGGGTTATTTTTTTTAAGAGCGGCCGAAGGCCGCCAACGCAAAAAGAAGTTCTACAAGAAAAAAGTAATATTGTCATAGAGGGTATAACATAATATTTAACATCAATGCTTTGTAATAGTTTATTTCTCTAGGTTTTGGATACCTGTATTTGGGGTATTATCTGTTTAATTTCTTTCAGTTCAATTACAAAAGATGTCGATAAGGTAACACTGGTTATTTGAAATTTTGCAACCCTTTTGTTATTGTCAGAATTAATAGAATTTAACAATAATTTAATTATTGAATTAAACTATTTTTGCACTATATAATGTAAAATAAATGTGTACAAACGAATTAGTGAAGTGTTAGTGGATATAAAAGTGGAAAATATAAGTGTATAACTCATTCGAAATGGGAAAAATGCGTACTTTAAATAGTCGAAATTTTGAACTTTGAACCCAAATATCTCGAAAACTATAAGTTTCCCGCGGCTATATCTATATATATTCTTGATCTGGAGGATCTCCTCTATCCGCCCATACCCATTTTATTCCCGAAAGCGTGGGACGTTATACTAAAGTTTTCCCGAAATATCGATTAATGCATTACCGACTTAGCTATATTTACTTAATTTTTAATTCATGTAGTAAATCGCTGTTACTACAGAACGTCTTCTGCATATATTTTGTAATTTTCAATAATATTATTTACACATATAGAGCTTCGAGGAAAAGTTTTGTTCTATTGGGACTATATATGGATTTTATCGGCACTTAGAATGTTTTTGTTTTCTTTACTTTAATCACTAAAATAATGACCTTCCCAAACAAAGCAGTATATATACTCACCGCAACACTTTAAATGCTTCTTGCTTCTGCTCCTTTTCGATGTACGACAATAGTATTGAAAGTGCGAGATCATTTAGTTGTCTCAAGTCCACTTGCATTTTCCGTTCTTCCAACCAAGTTCGATTTGCAGCCCTCGAAATGACTTTCATCCAATAAAGCCCATAGTGCACGCGTTCCTGCCAAGCCTCTTTGGTCCACATAAAGGCATTGTGTGGCATTTTGGCAGCAATATGCATCGGTGACTTCTGATCCGCCGCGAACAGTGACAATTCAATACTTTCTATTAGTCGCATGATTTGTTCATAAATCGCATATACTTTGATCTTATCATTATTAATATCGTGAGCAATTTCGTTTTTGATTTCATTCTTAAATTCAATTCGGTTGTCCAGAATTGATTTTGAACATTTTATGGAATTTTTTGGATCTGGATTTTTATTATTCATAATTTGGCCGCGCGGAGGAATGTGTCCGAAAGGAAATTCCAAAAATAGTTATTTTATAACAAATAAAAATAATAAAAATCCGATTTCAAAAATGTATTGTGAAATGGGCAAATAAAAAAAATTTACTGGCATAACTTTCAAAAGTTTGTGGAGAGCTCACTTATGGCAAAATCAATGCTTGTTTTGATTGAGTATTTAAAGTGTTTTTGTAATTTTCGAACCGACTAAACTGAAATGTGTTTAAAAATTAATTCGTGCAAGGACAGCCGCAGCCGGCTCGAATAAATCCCAGCCGAGAGGCCCAATTTCCGACCACTTTTTGTAGCAATTGGGGCGGTATTACAACAATAAGGAGCCGAATATTATCGTGGAAGGCGTCAATCATCTCTAGCTTAACTGTGTAGACAAGCATTTCGCATTACCTCACAAAAATAGTCCAGTATTAAATTGCATCATCCTGGAGGCCACATGCCTACAACGCGAGATAATGCGATCGCCAAAAGTTTCCTTCAAAAAATTTATTGTGTCCTTGGCTGCGTGGCATGTAGCGCAGTCTTATTGGAACCAAAGGTCGTCTACATCAAAATCCTCAAATTCAGGCACAAAATGGTCATTAATCATTGCTCTATAGCGTTCCCTATTGACTGTAACATTATGCCGGCTTCATTTTTGAAGAATTATGTATCAATGATTCTCTCTGCCCATAGAGTATACCGAATGGGCACGTTTTGAGGATAGAATGGGGTGTTAGTAATGGCATGTGGAGTAACATCACAAAATTTTATTGTGAAAATTAGGATTAATGGCCGTCTAGTTTTAGGCTCGGCTTCAATTCTTGCGTAGAGTAAACGTAGTGGGAAACCGATCTATGGTTGCTCGACTTACCGACTCTGTTGGATGATTGTTCCGGTGTAAGTCTATTCATTATAAAATGGCAAACCAAACTGAGTATAAATAAAGTAACCACTGTCAAAAAGACCAACCCCGAAAAAAAATTTTGCATCATTGAAAACTACATGTCAAAAAAACACCTATTACTTGTTATAATTATTTTTACCTGATTCTATTTAAAGATCGAGGATTTTGATTTGGCACCCATATTATGTCTTTAAAACTAAGTAGCGTCTGACTGATGAATAAGTGGCGTTAAAGGTATACAAGATCCTCCAGCTAAAATATTTGTTTTTATACCCTGAACAGGGCATAGAAAGTTTGTAACATCTAGAAAGAAATGTCGGACTCTATAAAGTATATACATATATTTATAAATGATCAGCGTGATGGGCAGAGTCGATTTAGTTTTACGTCTGTCTATCCGTCTATCCGTCCGCTTGTATATACGCGAACTAGTCTCTAAGTTTTTGAGATATCGTTCTGAAATTTTGTTTACGTCCTTTCCTTTCCTAAAAGCTGCTCACTTGTCGAAACTGTTAATATCGGACCACTTTAGCTTATAGCTGCCATACAAACTGAACGATCGAAATCTAGTGCTTGTATGGCAAACCTTTGTGTTTGGCGAGATATCTTCACAAAATTTGACATGGGTTATTATCTAAAGCAGCGGCGCAATCTTTCAAGAAATTTTTTTGATCAGACCTATAGCATATAGGTGTCATACAAACTGAGCGATCAAAATCAAGTTCTTATAGCTTCAGTGCAAACGAAATTAACTTTTTTTTTTTTGTTATTTGTGTGTCTCAAATCTTACGGAGCGCGTATATAACTATTTTTTCTTACAAATGAATAAATATTTCAGAAGTTTATTGCTTGTATTGAACAGTGTTAACATTTTGTCGTATTTCATTGTGGACATTGTCAGCTCAAAATAAACTCATTTCAAATTACAGTGTAATTATTACACTTTCCGCTTTCGTTCAAAGCGAAAAAGCTTTGAAAGCACATTAACAGCAGTTCTACAGCTTTAAATCACATATTCTGTTGCTGTGCTGTTGAAGCTCTGTTACACACACATGAATGTCTCTTGTTTCACACAGCTTTTCTAATGCTTTCAAAGCGTTAATTAGCTTCTTAGCCGCTGGCTATGCGGCAAATTAGCAGCGGAGGAAGTCGCAGTTGGAGTTTCACAGCTTCATATATATGGTAGATAGATAGAGATACAGCTGCTGCAGATGCCTAAGATGCAGCAGCACATCTGAGCAACAAGAAAGAACTAAGTCATACAAGCATGACACACTGCTTTCAGCCTTGAGTTAGGTTAGTTAGCTACCTCGGCGGCGTTGCCTTTAACAGTGCAATAACTCATTTAGCGCCATTTGTGGCAGCAATGCTTCACAAATGATTTGTGTGTGCAACTTGTTTATACATGTGTATGTATGTATGTAGGTTTGTGTGTAGTCGGTTCTTTGAATTCACGCCGTGGCACGCGTGTGACCCAATTTCGGATTTTCCTGTTGCTCCATTGCCGATATTTACGGCGACGCGCATCTTCATATCCACAGCGACTGACATTGTGGCCGCATTTTAGCGCGCATATGTGGCAACAGCGACATCAACTTGGCAGTGACGCTTGCGCATTTTTGTTGCTCTTTTGCCAATTCATTTGGTTATTTATGTGAGCGTTTTGCAATAGACCGCATGTAATTGACATAGAAAGAAGGGAACCAGAAAGCTAATTGTGCTACTCACTTAGCCATAGACACACACACACACACACACATACATGAAAACTTTGCAGCAAAGTTGAAATAGTCACTCCTCTTTGTTTTTGCTTTAGTTTTGCTTGTTAGTTGTTTGTTCATTTGTTGTTGTTTTTGTATTTTTTATATATTTAGTTTTGTTGTTGTTTTGGCTGCATATTTGTTGTTGTCAATTTGTTTATTGTTTTTGTCTTTTTTATATCATTGCTGTTGTTGTATTTTTCTGGTGTTATTGTTTTTGTCTTTTTTATATTGTTTTTATTGATGTTGTTGTATTTTTCTGGCTATTGTTGTAAATTGTTGTTGTTTTCATGTTTTATTTTGTTTTTGTTGTTGTTGTTGTTTTTATTTTTTGTTGTTGTTTTTTCTGTTATATTTAATTTTTGTTATTCTTGTTATTGCCTTTGCCAACACTGCCATCGTATTGCCAATCCAGCCCTAGTTGTGTACTATTGTTGACGTTGTAACAGTTCTAAGCCGTTGGTTGTTTTTGTTGTTGTTGGCGCATTAAAACGGTTATGCTGCTTGCCAAACAGGTTCTGCAAGTGGCAATTTTCTGCAAGCCTTCGTAGCGGTGTCTCGAACTGGTGACCCTTTCGGCGGTTTTTTTTTTTGGTTCCCACATGCAGACCCACGAGTTGAGTTGAGTTGTAAGTTGTAGTAAGTGTGTGTGTGCACTTTTGGTTTGCATGGTGTAGTTTGCATACAATCATATTTTTATGGCATATGTGTGCGAGTTATTATAATAATGAAATGGTAAAAAACCCGCTATTGTTGCAATTGTTGCAATTAAGTTCTTTGTAATTGCGTAGGTAATAAATATTTATGCGCTGTAACGGTTCTTCAGGAAAATTTACACTGACGGAGAAGTTCTCCTACAAGGTGCGTGCACTTCTATAAATATATGTCTGGTATTTGTATGAATGTAAAGATTGTATGAAATCTACTGTTTACAGTTATTTTCAGGTGCAGAAACTCAAAAGGCATACATTTGCGGCGTTGATCTCAAGACTGAGATGCAAGTGCTGCCATATGCAATATTTTCAGACTAACATATGTGTTAAAAGTCTGTTATAAAAGTTTCTATTCATATTTTGTGTAAATACTTATTTGAGGTATCGTAAAATTGTTTGCAAATTATCATGAAACTAAAAGAACCAAAAATACGCAAGAGAACTCAGGGTTTTTGCATTTAATGAAGACTATTTTTCTCATTTTTTTTAATTATTATAAATTTAAAATTTTCGTTCAACGAGCATTTTCTTGAGGTCTCTTAAACTGGTTACTGGGAAACCAAATGAATGCCGTGAACATCTTACTTTTGTTCTGAAAAGTAGCTTTAATTTAGACAATCATTTATGCCAAATTACGTAATGATATTTTGTCGAATAAAAAAGTGTTCCATAGAAGAACTTGATTTTGATCGTTCTGTTTACGAGATGTGTTTGGAAAATAACGGGAATTTTAAAACTTAAAATTTTGTGGGCTTAAAAAATCCGATTGTCAACTTTTTTACTATGCTATGCAAGCTCCTGATAAAAAGTTTCACCTGTATTTGTCGGTAGCAGCCACCAAGGTTAGACGTGTTTTTATGAGCTTGGTGATTTTATTTTTGTTAAAACCAAAAACACTTCGTTGCTTTTTTATAGATTCTTGGCCAAAAATAATTTTGTAATGATGTCCCAGCCTTTATATTCGGCAGACATGGGTCTGTTGTTAAGATGACGTTTATTTTTAGGATTAAATGTTTAATACAATCGTTCAGATCCATTATTTCAAATAGTCATAACCGATATGTCTAACAGGCCATTTTGATATATTCTATTTTCCAGCTATCTCATTCGACAGTCATTTTGCGCACATTTAAAATCAAACTTTATTGTAAAGTTCACTGAAATCATAATTTTCGGTACGTATTCGTATTTAACCTGTTAGCGATTCAGCAATTCCTGCATGGCCTGACTCAGAGCCCAAATAATGCCCATGAAATGCATTTTTGGTATAAGCTGCGTTTTTTCATCAAAAAATTTTGCTCCCTTAACATTTGTAATTTAGTTTTATTCACATTTTTTCTATTCTCAGTACATTCAGAAATTAAAGACACATAAATTCAATAACCAATTGGCCTTTTACAAGTCAAGTCTAATTACAAAACGTATTTATTTAAATAAATAACTTATTTTTGAATACGAATACGAATACAAGGCAGGCGTTGTACCAATCTTAAAAAATCTTTATATAATCATATGCAGAATAATATACTTAAAGTTTGTCTGAGCTGATTTAGCTTGGAGACGTTTCCATTTTGGATATTTTCGCTTAAGCCAATTACTCAATCTATATAAAATTTTGGCCTGAGTCCGCTGGAAAGCCTTAATATATTTTCTGAACGAAAGAAGAAACTGCACCACGTTTAGTCCCTACTTAAATACAACAGGAGGAAAGATCATAGCACATACGCTGCTATAAGTTTTAAGCTTCCCTGAATAGCAACTTTTGTAAGTCTGAAATATCCTCGAAAGTTTTTGTTTCGTCCATAATTGCAATCCACGAAACAGTCAATAGTAATCATGAATGCTGCTATTTTAAGTAAAATTTTTTTCTCTTTCAACTCAAAGATAAGCTACTGAGAAATTCTTAAATTTATTAAGATATGTTGCAAAGTTCTTTAATGACATCTAACATTTATATTTTGAGTCGACCTTTCATTCTTGATAAGCTATATCTATATTCTACCCATCTAACTTTTGTTACCTCCAGGAATTGATTGAAGTCCCTCCTCTAGTTTGTGCTGGTGGGCTTCCGAGTACCACTGCCTTAGATTCCCATCTAAATACTTTAGTCTGCCAACTCAAATAAGAGAGAAAAGAGACAGCCATTTACTTTGTAGGGATTTTAAGCTTCATCGCCCTCTGTCTTTCGATTCTAGATCTGCTCTCTGGTGACGTTAAAGCTAGTAACACTGCCTAGCTACCCTAAAATATAACAACTTCGTCCGTAGATAAACTATATTTATAATTGTTTGGCTAAAGAACCAACAAGCTCTCATAACTCTAGTATATCAGCCTGTAGGATACTCGAGTTGTATCCTAATTGGTCGGATAGTGAGAGAGAGAGAGTAAATAGTTATAGTTACTAAAACAAATGTTAAGTAAAATCCCAGTCAAGCGATGCTCTTCTAATCCACCTCTTACACCTGTCAAAATTAATCTCTCCTCATTAGACGCCAAAACCACTTATCCACATATTAGCAATTAATTAAAAAACTGGCAACGCCACATAACAAAAGCTTGTTATTATTAGCCCAATTGTATTGTGGGAATTTGCGACACATTATGCCACTTGAAAACAGCGGCGACGCCAATACAGACAAAGAAACATGTAAAATACAGTGCAAAATACAACAAAAAATCACCAACAACCACTACTCACGTCACAGCGCTCTCGCTGTAAAAGCCAAAAGTCAACAAACGAGTGGACAACGGCAGCAAAACTTTAAAGTCGAGCTTAGACACTGACTAGGGCCAACTAAGCTGTAGAAAGAGAAGAAGAAGAAAAAACGCAAGCAATGAAAAAATGAGTAAGCGGCATAAACAAGAAATACAACTGACTGGCGATTACGCGTACGCAGCGCAACAATAATAACAACAACAGCAGCAAACTGTGAGCAATGCGAGCAGACAACTTTGCAGACGCCACGGACAGCAGCAGCTTTGAAGCTGTCAAGCAATAACAACAAATACAGGTAGAGTAAGCATTGGTCATGGAATTAGCAACAGTAGCAAGCTGAAGTTATAAGCGATGGCAACTGCAGTCGACGCCAGCGACGCCGCAGCCAATTCACTAGCCGTTGTTTGTGGTAGTAGAGTTGCTGTTGGTGGTAGAGTGGCAAGCAGCGACTGTTATGACTTGAACACTCGCAAGCCCAACCAGTTACGTTTCAACTTTCATTCCGTGCTGACGTATCCGGACGTGTTGAGTGGTGCGCAGCGAGCGCTTTGTATGGTAAGCGACATTCGCAAAGATTCTGCAAGCAAAAAGGCACGAAAATACTAAAGAAATAAGAGATCTCTGGGTACTTTGTATACGGAGTTTTTGTACTGTCAAAGTGATTGGAAGTGCTGCTAGTAACTATTTAACGGCATGACGGCGTAAAAATGAACTTATACACAAACGCACAAACATACATATACCATATATAAATATATCTGTATATTTCATTGTCGGAAAGTTTGTGCAAAAGGTTTCGGCTTAAAAATGTATCAGTGCGCCCAAATAAGTACAAAAGCCAACAATATGAGTGTACAAAAATAACAAATTAATAACCGAACCACCTTCGCTTTATACGCATTGTTGTTGCGACGTGTTTTTAGAGCATTCTACGCAGATGTGGGTGTTTGGTTTCGCCAAAATGCAATGGTTTCATACTCGAAGTGTTAATGAAAGGAGCACAGAAGAATGCGAGCAATTTAGTGTGGTTAGAAAAATATGAAAAATCATAAGTGCAAAAACAAATATTAAAAAAACAAAAGCAATAAACAAATGAAAAGTAGCAAATGGAAATGAAAACGAAATCGAAAATAGTTTAATGTATGAAATATTCAATGAATGCGCAAAAAGTTTGCGCGCACGCTCTTTCCATACCATATATTTATATAAGCAGGAACAGCTACTAAAACATATGCGTTTATTTATTATTCGTGTTTTTCCCTCATTTTTTCATGAAATAGTAACACGAGGTCAATTTGTGGAAGCCAGTCTGGCCAGCTAGTTACGGCACGCTGTTCAAGCGGCATAGCGCTTTATTTAAAGCTATATTAAAGTGAAAGGAAACAAAGTCGCAAACGGCTGCGGAAAAAAATTACAAAAATGCTGAAATTAAATTAGTTTGCAGCAAAAATTTACTTTATTTCAAATGAGTTGTATTAACTTTGTACTTTACTGGAGGGAGATTTCCATGGCTGGTACGGGTTGAATTGTAGATAGTTTTATAGGTTGAATAACCTTTTTTAATACCTTCAATACATATATGTATATTGAAAAATTAATTATATTCGTATATGTACATATAGCGTATTTAAATATTGACAAAATCTACTTAAGTCCCTAAAAATAAAATTCGTGTAATTCTCAATATTATTAATATTTCTTTATTAACTTTATCTCCTAGAGTACTGGTCATCAGATAAATATTTTCTTCTTTTTTTCAACAATAATATACGCATTTATTGCATTTATCATAAAAGACTTAAGCAGCAAACTTCAACTATTTCAACAAATTAATAAAAACATTTAGAACAGAAGACTTAAGCGAAAAATTAATTCATAACACAACGATTACTCTCCTCTCGCCCAACTACCGCAACAAAATCATGATATATGCAGCGAAAAGTTTCGTTTAGTACAAAATTTGAATAAAGACTTAACCTGGAATCTAATCGGAGGCTCTAAGCTGAAAAGAATTTTTTTTTTGAATGAATTCTAACTTGTCAGAATGCTTTTGGTAGCTAAGGTTTCATACCACTGATATAGGCCTAACCAATATTGTAAAGAGAGTTTTAGTAACCTTACAACCAACGTTTAACAACACTATGAGCACCTTTAGCATTCAAAACCACGCTATTAACATTCAGACTTAAATAAAGCTTAGGCTCCATAGTAACTCCCAAATCCACAAAGTTAAATACTTACTCTAGCATATAGTTTTTTATTATAATGGGTGAGGGGTGCATAAACTTTTTATTAATCTTGATTTCACTGTAATATGAAAATGTACTTACAGAATATTTAAGCAGCAAACTTCTATTTTTTGTGGCAATATTAGAAACAGAATCTATACAATATTTATCTGCAAAACTTTTAATTCCAAAATTAATTGTTTGAGTTTAGCGGTATTCAGCAGAATCACTGCCATATATTTAAAATAACAACGTTAAATAGCTTAAACTTGCCTTCTTTCGCTATTATTTCATCTCGAACAAAAGACTTGAGCAGCGAACTTCAACCAAATTTTGAGAAGTTTAACTAATTCTATGCGAAGAAAATTCATTTCAATTAAGCTGCGCGTAAATCAACATTTCATAAGATATATGCACTGAAAAAAATTTCATAATCATATATAAAACAAATTATCAAGCCAAAGCTGTATGACATTTGGTTACTGATAAATATATGATTAATAAGAAAAAAGGTATTAACGCACTGCTATGTGACGTTTAGCTTGAAATGAGAACATGAAAAATAATAAAAAATAAATTAATAACATAATAACATAATAAAAAAGTTTCCTCTTTTTTTTAATGTGCCTGTCTTTTTTTTAAACTGCCCGGCTTGATGACTAAATTGACATTAACGATCTCATATAAGATTCATTATACTGTACTTCTTAGTTTACGCTGTTCAATTTGAAAATTGTGGTAAATTTCTAATATGGAAAAATCTATAGGTATCCAATTTCGTATTCTATAGCAAATTTTTAACTAATTAAAATTAAAAAAAACTTTTAATTAATAAAAATTAAAAATTTACCAAATCATCTTTCAAAATGACATTTGTACAGTATAATTAATTTGTTTCTTATAAATAATATTTTGAAAGAATATTTTGAATCCAGAAAAAAATTTTACGGAATTAGAATTTTAAATTTTTTTATCTAATGAATTGTTGAATTGTTTGAAAACATAAATTACATAATTGATTTCAAACACATGCAGAGAGCATATATTCTGTTTTCTGTTATTAAATATCACCGACAGAAAATTAGTTTGCAGTTTGATCTTAAACGAAACTATTCAAAATTTCGGTTACTTTTTTAAACATACAATTTTATAATCGAATTTATGTATAACAATACAAATTTTATAATTAAATGTTGTAAATTTGATCTGTGATATTTATCTACTAGTTAGTGATAATCATATTTCTGCTGTGTGTGAAAAAGCAATTTTCGCTGTAACAAATTAAACTTGAAACCATTAAGATTAGACTTATGTGCTTTTCGATACATAAAATTTATCAAAAAATACTCTTTAGCTTTTTTTGGCATATGTTTAGCATATTTTATCCGTTAATATGAATTTTTTCGGTAGTCCTTAACTATTCTTAATAACCAAGAGATAACAAAATAAATTATTAAAAATACATAGTTTCTTATTAGTTTTTTTTTTGTATTATTAACTATTCCTAATAACTCAAAGGTAACAAAACAAATTTTTAATAATATAAATGTTTTTTCTTATACAATATTTGATTGCAAAGAAGTCTTACAGTTCTGCAATTGTAAAAATTTCATTGTTAATTGCTCTTGGCTTAAAATTTAATTATGTGAATAAATAATTCTTTAAAATGTTAAATAAATACAGTAAAATTTATGCAAGTTCACATACTACTTAATTCTATAAAGTTCTTAATTTTCAAAAGTTATATTAAGCACGGTGGGAGGTTCAACATTGCTTAGGGAAACCTTTCAAATGACCACTTCTATGAAAGCTAACCTTGTAGAAGTATAATCTCCACAACTTAACACACAATTTGAATTAAATTTGCAACGCTGCAAAATTCATATGATTTTTGCCAAGAACAATTTACGACATTAGCAATATTTTAGTGAGATTTATTAGACTTTTAGCGTTCAAGCAACAAATTGCACACTTAATTCGACTGAAGTGCATAAAAGCCGTCACTCAACTCAAGCTGCAGCTGCCAGCCTGCCAGCTAGCTAGTTGACTATAGAAAGCGTGGGGAACTGCAAACATTTTTGCTGCCTGCAGTAAATTCATTAAACTCTGACGTCGACAGATCACACCAGCGAAAGACAATAATTCAAAAGACTTAAGGCACGAACTTCATTGTGTATCAAAATAAAATGCAAAGGCTGAGAAAATTTCACATTGCAAAGTGCAAACAAACATAATTCAATTTAACAACTTTTCGATTCTCTTGCATTTAGCGAATTCATAAAGATTTTTGCATTTTGTGCATGCGAAAATCCAAGCGAATTCGCCCATTTTAAATATGTGCGCTTGTGTGTGCGAAACGCAGCCTTGAATGTCTATTTGCTTATGTGTGTGTGTGTATTTGCAGAGACACTACAGCAAGTGAAGTGAAAAAATTTACCAACAATAAAATAAAATAAATGTACGCATAAATAATTGTTGTGAAAAATACAGGCGCTTGTGATAATATAATCGAAAAAAAGGCAGACAACAATAATAACAGCAACAAGAGTGGATTATCAAATAGCAGCGAATAAAATTAATTACGCGCGCGATCACACACGATCGTTTAAAGCGAGCTGGTGAATGGCTGAAAATGTGAAGCCGAGCGCCAAAAGCCAAACAGAAACAACAACAACGGCAATTGTTGCTCACATAATCGCTGTCGGCGACTAAAGTTTTAGTTGGTCAAGCAACAAGAAACAAGAGACGCATACAAGTCAGCATATAACAAAAAATACAACAACAAAAAAGCAGAAAAAAAAATTAAAAAACAACAAAAGCAAACAAAAAAAAAACACATTAACGAAAATAACGAGTGTAATAGTATTTAATAGCGGCAAGCGATTTGCCAACGAAACGTGCAACGCAGACGAATAACGAAAACCGCCGCTGCAACAACAGCAACGGCTGCACATAACCGGGCGCAAGCAGCAAAACAAACAAACACACCTATTTACATATGTTTGTGTTTCCAGAGCGACTTTAAATTATTTGCACCAATATTTGAGCGCTGCACTGGCGCCAACACACAACAAAAATACAACAAAAATAAAATTATAATAAATAAATAAATTATCAACTGTTTGTTGTTGTTGCATGTCGCACCTCGCCTACATCATTTCCATTCGGAAAACAGTTCAACAACTTCTCGAAATTGTCCTGTGCGCAGTGAAAACACGACAGCTGCACCACTTGCGGACAGCGCAAAAACAATCGATTGCTTGCAACAAGCTGTGGCAAGCTTATAGCTCATCAACAGCAACGTTGCAGTGCCACCAATTTTACAAACACAAAAAAAACTTGTATAATTTCGAAACAAATTTTGGTGAAATTTTCACAATTCCCGACAGCAGACGCAGGAAAGTAACTGCAATGAAGCGCCAGCAAAAACAACAACACCAACAACATATGGACACTGCGGTTGCAGTTAGTCAGCGCAAATGTCAAATGTCCACGCAACGTGCGGCGTTGTCGCGTACGCTGGCAAAGCTGTCAGTCGTATTGTTGCTGATTTCTTTATTGGCCGTTGCCAACTGTCATGGTAAGTCAAACGCATGTTTGTTGTTGTGAAAAAGGAAAGTAATTGCAATTGTAGCTAAGTACTAGTATATACTTGTATGGCTATTTGAGGTCTAAAATTTCTTCATCGAATGATATGGAATCGAACAGTCACCTACATATATTAATATATACATATGTATATTGATCCGTACCTTGAAGTTTTTTCACTTCACAAAGAATCTGTGTGCAATATCTGTGATCTCCGTGATCAGCTCTGGAATCTAACCAAACCTATCATAAACGATATCTTCGTAGATACTGTTTTCTAAATATGACTTTAACCCACTGACATATGCCTTATCGATATTTCATTCTTGTGATGAGTGTCTTCATATTTGCTGAAAAAAGCTTTAAGGGTTTACTGTACCTCCTCATTAAAAGTAGTTTCGTATCAAAAAAAGCATTCACAAATCTTCATCTCATCTGATGAAGGCTCTGCAAACGCAAACGTGAGATGATCTCAGGTATGATTAAAGGAGATTAGGCTATTTTGTCCTGACAATACAATTACGATATATGAATTTGCGATAATATATTAAGCTATGCTATACCTTTAAAATACAATATTGATATCATACGTCATATATCAGAATAGTCGAGATAATCTATTTTGTGTTCAGATTGTTGAGGTTTTCGTGGAAAAGGAAGCTATAAGGTACTAACGGAATCACTGACCAATTTATTGATAAATTCTTTCAGATCTGAATTGCATGCGATCCTGATTACTGCTGTATTAATGTCACAGTAAAACCAAAATAGTTTTTTCAAAATTTTTCTATCGCGCAAGAGGAGCAACCCTTTCGTGGCTGCCCATACTGAAGTTGGATTACAATTCTTAAAATATCTCTCAGCCTCGGCTATTCTTTTCAATGATTATTCTCTTGAGATCTGAGAATAGGAAAATAAAGATATTGTTTTGAGTGTGTGTTTTGTGATTGTTTCGATTGTGATCTGCATGCCATTTTGCATAGAGGTTCGTACAAGTATAGGCAAATATTCATGAACAATATATCCAACTCGATCCTTTGTTATTATTTGAGTGTCAAGTGTCTCCATTAACGCCATTTTAGAGTCATCTAAATCATTTTTATCAATTTTCTCAAAGTATCAAAGCTTACGTCTCTCAAAAAGCTCCATTTCACCAACAAATTGTCTGACAGCCGTGTGTCTCCAAGTGCTCTATCAAATATTTTTCAGCACATAGATTTTAATTGATTGCTATACATTTAAGGACAATCAGAATATGAACATTGATGAACTGAAGAGATTCGCTGCAGTTATCTTGAAATTCTGTGAACTTTAGGCATACAAAATCCAAGTGATAAAATACTTAATTCTTATATTTCATAAATTACTAACAACCTTAGCGGCATTTATAAGTTGTATTCTTCATGTGAAAGATGTCTGCATCAAAGATAACTTCAGATCAAACATTATGTGTTTCCATTTACATAGAAAATTATACGTGAGAGAAAATCACTTCAATTCTACTCATCAGGCAGATGAAATATTTTTCAAAATTGTAATTGAAATTCCTTGAAATTTTATCAAAATCGGATATGACTTTCTTGATTTCTCGTTCTTGGTGCTATAGAAAAAAGAGATCAGAGAGTGGGAACTGATGGGTGATCAATAACATTCATACTAGTTTCTTTTATTAGTATTTTTCTATATATAATATTTTTTATATCGTTATAATTGTCTTGCTATAACTTTAAATACTCAGTAAAACATCGTTGATTGGTAAATAAAAAATAATGCTACTCTGTAGTATTTCATCATCTGGTTTTATTAATCATCGCATATAAGACTCAACAATTGTTAAGTTGATAAGTGGATGCAAATTGAAATTAATAACTTTAAAACCTGTCAAGCATTCTCTCTATGTCTAATACCTTCAGATCTCTACAACACCAAAACGCTTTCTTAAGCATTTCTATTTCAAGCTGAATTTTAATCAGCTGTATTACTCTCAAAAATTTTGTTATAAAACCCCTGCACGTGCTCTTCACAAAAAATCGCCTAAGTTCGCATGTCAAAATTATATCAAAGCGGCAATTAAGCAAATCGTAACTTCTAAACCGCAAAAAAAAAACACTTAAAAACACCACTAAAGTGCGGCAACAACAAATCTGTAGCACCCGCTGTTATGAAAGAATTTTGAAAACGGAAGCGAAAATTAGCTTGCTAATAGCACAGAACTCTACAAAGTTTTAAGTTACGAGTTGTGTAATTTTCACCGTGTATATTTGCCACAACAATTCACACAATTATGCGCATGCGCTTGGTATTACAACATAACTTAGTTTTTTCTGCTGCGAAAATTTAATAAATTTTGTAATAAATGAGCTGAAGTACAAACAAAGAACTAACTATAAATGTGAATAGTAGCAATGAACTAATAAATATATATATTAGTTCTTTTATTTGTCACGGTAGAGTGAGTTTATGAGTGGGCGGCCACTCGCACGCAAGCGCACAAAGACAAAACAGCAAAGAACTGTTGCCGGTTGAATAATTTGTTCAGAAATGGTAACAAGAACCCCACACTCGACAGAGGATTTATAAATAAATCAAAGAAATTTAAATTTCAAAATTTTTTTTTTTTTAATTTTGACCAAAGAGCTGAAAGAGAGTATTACTTATTAAAGTGTATTGCGTCATTTCGTTTGTTGCCGACGCACACTATTACTAATTTTGCCTATCACTGCCTTCTGCCTTGTGAAGTTCTAAATACAATTTATATAAAATACAACAACAAATTACAGAACCTTTACGCAAAAGATCAAATCAATCATATACTGCCACTTTTGTTTTCATTATCGGCGCCCATTATTCGAAAATCAAGTCAACAAAACACCCTCTCTGCAAAAAATAGAAAACACCAACAACAAACGAAAACGAAAAAAGTCAAAATTTTTAATAAAAAAATCCGCGCTAGACACAAAAGCTCACAAAACATGTTGCTCGTTGGCCGTAAGCGAAATACACACACACTCACACATCTACTTACATGTTTATGCATGCATCAATTATTTACCGTTTTTCGAAAACCGGTGCCAAGCAGCATATTACTTTTATTTTCAATTTGTTTATGAACCCACTTTTTTTTTTTTTGGTTTTTTTTTTTTTTGATTTTTGTTTTTGCCTTACGAGTTTGTATCGATTATTGTTCGCCTGCCGGCCAATGAATCAAGCGTCGTGAGCGCAAAATTTAACGGAAAAGAACTCGCAAAACCAGAAACAGAAACTAGCCACACACACACATACAAACACGCCGTGGTGTTTGTGCGAAATTTTGCATATATGTTTTTGTTGTCTTATGAGCTGTTTAGCGGTTTTACTCGCGTAGTTGCAGCGTTGCATTTGACATGTCGCGTTGACTGTTGGCTGCTGGCTGCTGAGCGTAGGAAGTGTGTAGACCGAAGGATATTTAAATCTCATTGCATCGATGTTGCAACGTGCTATTATTGCTGCTGATTTTATTGCACTTTTAATTGCGCCAACTTGCAAAACTAGTCGCGACTAGAGTGTGTAATTAAAAGTAAAAGTAAGATTGAAAGCGAAATGTTTGCGTGTGTAAAGGTAGGCGGTGGGAAGAAGTATCATACGATCTACTCATAGTTGAGTGGTTTGGGTCGCTAATTGTTCAAGTATATTGCATTATTAAATGCTATTTATCATCAACAATCTCTTATGTGCACTAATATGGACATAATATGGACAATATGTGAGATAATACAGTAGTATTTAATTTTTTATATAATAAATATATTTATATATACATGTGCCTTTGATAAATTGCTGCACCTACTCACACTTAAAATTTATTTAAAGTAATGAAATAAACAAAAAATGTTGGTTATGTAATAATTAAAATAAGCCTATTGGAAGCTTCTAAGCAATGAATAACTCGCTTTTATGAATATTATAAAAAATTTGATTAAAAACGAAAAATCCTTAATCCTACAAAAGAATTTAAGGGGCATGCACCTAGTGGGAAATTTTGAAAAAAAATTTTTTTTGCATTATTCAAAAGTATTGTATGTATAAATCTTTAAAAATCACAATCTTTTAAAATCACATACAAAATTTTGAAGCGATTTCTCAAATAGTTTTTGAGTTACAGAATTGTAAATTGTAGCCGCTCAGTTCAATTAGTCAAAATCAGCTCTTTAAATGCGTTTTTCTCAACTACAACTACATTTTTCGAATTTGATGCGGTGATTACTCGAAGATCCGATCACCATAAAATATTTTCTGCATATTCTGTATATGTCTAGTTCTCCGTACAATGACCTACTAGTTTTGGGTAAAATAAAATTGTTTTCTAAAAACGCCGCCTTCTAGGGGAGAAATTCTATTTTATTATTTATTTTCTTCAAAAATTTTACTTTTCTTAAAGTATGTATAAATATACCGTGAAATTTATAACAAACGATACAGTTGTTTTATTTTAATTCCCAAAAATCGGCTTTGTTAAGAGGTCACTCCAGGAACACGCCTTAAGCTTCACATATTGCAAATTAAACAGCTAAAATTTGCAATCTTATGAGGTCAAGGAATCTATAGGATCCCCAAAGTTGAATTTCATAGTTAATAAATAGCATCTTTAATAATAAAGGGTGTCCTAAAATTAACGCAAGATTGGAAATAAATAGAAAATACAGTTTTTGGTCCTTCGATTGTAATTTTTTTATTGAATCATAAAGTACACAGAGGAAGGTTATTACCGGAATAATACGCTGGGAAAATGGCTTCCATAGCTTTCCATATACCAGATGTACCGATATAAAGTGAGCGTTAAGATAGAAATGTGTTGGTAGGTAGTCATTTTTGTTGGTTGGCATGACATCTGTTAAACCTTACAGTCATTGAATTAACAATATCATATTTTTTCTTTGTGGTGATGATGATTTCTATGTGAAATTTTGAATTTCACAAATTGAAAAATTGAATTTCATGATATGAAGAACGTGG